AAAAAAAAAAAAAAAAACTCAATCACTTGCGTCGCGTGGATCCCCGTGGTTCACCTTGATGGATGAAAGTGGGCTTTTGGGAAAGAGATTGCTCAGCACTGAAAATAGTCTCCTCTCTGTGTGTCCGTGTCTCATCCTCAGCCCCCCAGTTAAAAATGATGGACTACTCCTATGACGAAGACTTGGACGAGATGTGTCCCGTGTGTGGAGACAAGGTTTCAGGCTATCACTACGGACTACTGACCTGCGAGAGCTGCAAGGTTAGTGCCCTCATTTCACACTCCCCAGTGGGAAACCATTACACTGTATTACAATAATATTGTGTGCGCATGGTTACCTTCCTGTATCTGCTTTGATATCTAAAATATTCTTAGTGGCTAAAATTGTTTTTGGCTGTGAGGTCTCAATTATAGCTGCCTAATTAATGGTGGTAATAGGAAGTTTCTGCAGTGCATCAAAGCCTGACAGTAGGTTGGAGCATTTTGCTTGTGTGTCTGCAGTGAAGCAAGTTATTTTCCTTGAATATTGCAGACACAGTTTGCATTGTTCAATACAATTAAAACACACTGCATACATAGTGATACATACGTCTCCACGGCTGCTTATTTCAGTGTATGAGCCTCTCTTTTTGCCGTGATATTTTTGCACACTAGGCATTTAGCCGACATTCTTGTCTACAGCAACTTGCAACAAGTGTAACTGTGCAGTAAATATTCAGTTCCTCGCTATTAATGTTACAGGAAAACCAAAGGTAAAGAGGCCAAGGGTCAAATATTGTTGTGACAATTGGTGTAACAAACTTTTCCTGTGAGTGTCAGGGGATTTTTTAAAGCGGTGAATGTCTTGAAAGAGAAGCAGGCAAAGGGTTTATTTCATTTTTATTTTTGCCACCACTAAACACAGTAGGAGGGGGAGGAGGGTTTCACCCTGGCAGCAAAGTACACACTAAAACTGTCTCTGTATGAACAAGCGTGTACTTTACTGTCTAAAACTCTCATCACAAGTTCGTTACGCTCACAGCAGCATTGTCTGGCTCCAAAATGTTTCCATGCACAGGCTAATAATGAAGCTACCGCAAAGTAAACTGTTGCTGCTATTATTTTTGAGCTCTATCAACAACCTATTTGTCCCTTGCTGCCTCTTTCCACCGTCCTCCTCAACGCAGAGCTAATAGGCTTCACCCAAGTTTTTTTGTTAGCCCAGTAAAGCTGTCAGCACAAAATTAAGCTAAGACAAATGTCTCTGTGTTAACACTATTCAGTGCAAAAACGCCGCTCGCAGTATTGATGCCGCGGCACACATTTCTCGCCTATGTGGTCATTATTCAAAGCAGATGTTATAGATTTTATCCCATATTATGACCTTGAGATGCTAAGCACTTGCTTGAAGGGAGACGTCAGTGGCATCTCTGCTGCTCTGCAGGCTCGTGTTGGAGAGCCAGTCCACAAACACATCTCCCAGTGTGTGTGTGTGTGTGTGTGTATGTGTGTGCATGCAGTAGATGAAGAAGTCTTTTATGAAGTGCTGTATCCTTGTTGAAACATGAATGATATTGATAATTACCTGAAGCTTATCATTGATTATCTCTAAAATGCAGGCAATCTATTCACTGAAAGTATGATTGTTGGAGCTGGACTGATACATCAGTGTGTTGACATGTTGCAGGCTCATATTGGTATTAAATATCTATCTCCAGTGTAATGGAGGTTTGTCTCTGGCCACAGCTGCATGAAAACTAGAAGAGAAACCAGTAGTTAGATTTTATTCTTGTTTTTCTGTTAACGTAAAAGCACTGCTGTTTCAGTTTTGTTACGCGCAACCGAAGCAAGATTCATATTCTCTAAATAGTTCATATTTCCTAGTGAGTTTTTATATTTGCAACAACCCTCTACCCTTTTCTTGCACCCCCTCACCTCACCCATGCTTGTACCCTTCAACCCCAGAAACTCAGTTGTGATTTGGACGCATTTGTTATCAGGGTCGGATGTTTTTTGAGCTTTAGTTGGGTTACCAGTTCTGGGCCGAGGAACACACACACACACATGTAGAAAAAAAAGGAGTGAATCAAGATTCTTTAACCTCCGAAAAAACCCTACCACCTCACACACACACACAGCCAGTGTTGGTTCATACTACACACCCTCCCACATAAAGTAAACATGGTACCACATCATACCTGCTGCAATAACAACAACAAGCTGAAACGGGCTTCATGGTCCCCACTGTACACAAACAGGCTCAATCCCAGGACGTTGGGAGACACCGAGCAAAGTCTAATCCTAAAATACTGACATTACAAGGTCAAGGGTCAGAGCCACAGTGCGCAGTGGACGTATCAAAAATATATTTAGGATCTGCAGAAGTTTGAGGGAAATAGATGAAGTTAGAACATATTCAAACTAGTAAAGAGTGCAGGGATCAGAGGAGATAAAGTGGTGATGTGCATTTTATTTTTCCTGCTTCTTTGTCGGACTTACTGCCCAGAATTGACATGAAGTAAAAGCAGTTTCCTGGTTGCTGTTTTTGTGTTGAGAGAATGCAGTTTCGTAGGACGGAATTCCAAGGTCAGGAATACCCAATTACTCAGATAATTCATCAAATTAAAATCGTGCTTACTTCTATGAATAGCTTGTGTCTACTTTAAAGCATACCATTTCATATTTCAGTGATGATTTTATGTTTTATGTTATTTGTGACATATTTTTGAGTGAATGAGAAACTTTGCTGTGTATAATGGCAACAGGAATGGGTAAAAGTTGCTTTCAGCAAAGCCTTTCACGAATAAAAATGAGCCTTGACTGATGAGTGTCTTTTCTTGGTTTGAGCTGCCGGTAAAATGAAAGCTTTTCAGTGATGTTGTCCGCTTAATCTCCAGACGTGATGTTGCGTGGTTTTTAAGGCATGTTAGAATCCAGTTTGGTTCAGATATTTATAGCGCATGCTGTGCACTAAATGGAAAATTGGAGAGAAAGTTCTCTCTGAAGCATGGATTTTTTAGCACTGAGAAGTCGATAATCCAAAACCGAGTGCAGAGGAGGTTTTTTTTTTTTTTTTTTTTTTTTTGCTTGGGACGGATCAGGCAATGCAGATTGTCAATTAAATTTGTGTTTGGTGAGGTTTTTTTTTTTAAAAGACCAGGTTTAAGGATTCTCCTCCCAGGTTATGGATCTAGAATACGTTAATACCATCTTCCCTTCGTCTGATTTTCACTGCTGCTGCCTATAATTAATTCCACGTTGCAGGTATGAATCTCTGTAATCCCGGAACTGTGAATTATGGATATAATTTATTGGATTTTTCTGACTCCTGTGCTCATATTTTTCAATAATTAAGTGGAGAGTTGAAAAGATGCTTTCCCCGTAAAGTCTTTACCTGAATATATTGAGATATTAATAATATTGAGAATAGTAAAGTCATTCTGACAGGACACAAATTAGAATTTATACTCTTTATAAAGTAGTTTATAAGGCAGTAAAACATTAAGTGAGGCAGGTATTTAGATAATTTATTTGTTTAAAGCTCTTCTAAATTAAGGCATAGTGGAAATTTGAATTTATAAATAATTTGTGTGTGTGATTTATGAAAAAGTATCACAAATACTTTGTTTTCAGCTTCAGTATAAAGAAAGAAAAATATTTTAAAAAGACAAAAATTTCCTCCATTTGTATAAAGTGTGTATTAATATATATTCTGCATGTGTGTGTCCGAAAGCATCAGGACATCAATTGGAGTGTAGCTTTCAAAACTTCACCCTGTGTGTGTGTGTGTGTGTGTGTGTGTGTGTGTGTGTGTGTATCCATTAAGCCTGTCCCTCTCCATCTGTCTGGGAGTGTGAATGGGCCAATTACCATCGCATTGCAGGGGTCAAGCGGGTTGACGTCTTAATTGGTTCTCTCTGCAGGGCTTCTTCAAGCGCACCGTCCAGAACAACAAGCGCTACACATGTATAGAGAACCAGAGCTGCCAGATTGACAAGACCCAGAGGAAGCGCTGCCCGTACTGCCGCTTCCAGAAGTGCCTCACCGTCGGCATGAAGCTAGAAGGTACAGCAACATGTTTACTTTTTTTTTTTTTTTTTTTTTTTTACAGTTCAGGTGTTTGGCTTATACCTGAATGACTTTGGATCGCATGTTTTGCTGGTGTTTTTGCTTCTGTAATTCAGTGTGTTTATAGCTTAAACACAAGGTTAAAATCAGATATGACCTAAGGAGAGATGTTCAGCAGTGTTTCACAGTGCAGCAGTGGCTGGTGGAAAATGGGTAGCTGTTGAAAGTTTGGGATTTTTCACAACTGATAAAGAAGAAAGTTGTTGCATAAAGGAGGAAGGGTTTCAAACAACCAGTGACTGTAATGAACTGACCTCTGGGATTTTAGTGTCTTGCTCAATGACGGTCAGACAGAACAGATGACTGTAAATGGCACTAAACATGCAAATGTGCAGTAACCAGTGGTGGAGGGAGTATTCGGATACTTTGCTTAAGTGAAAGTATCAAAGTTGTGTGTGTAAAAGTAGATATTATTGGCAAATTTAACCTAAAATATCAAGAGTTAAAGTTTTCATGATGCAGAAAAATGTCCCCTGTGAGATATACATTGTTGGATTATTATCATTAGTGATGTGTTAATATGTAAGTACTATTTTACTGTTGTAGGTGGTTGAGATGGAGCTTACGAAACTATTTTATGTACTGTTGGGTACTTATGTGTAAGCTTATCAAATATTTTGCATTTTTACTGTAGTAAAAAATACCATGTTATTCTATGAAAAGTTGGAGAGTAAAAGAAGAAAGTGGAGTGTTAAGCATCCTGCATATGAATTTAGGTACAGTACTTGAGCTGGATTCCACCACAGCCTGTAACAAGACAGCATCTCGACCGCCAAATGCCCTAGATAGCCTCCGGGCTTGCTTTCACCAGAAGTCTTTTAAAATCACATTTAATCTGGGAGAATATTTGTCATTTTTATTGTACATTTCATGAATAGTTTACCACAGATTTTGTCTATTCTGAGGTTTCATAGCGAACACACATAGTGCTCACTAAAATATGATCCAGAACTTGCACATCTGCCGGAGTGGAAAAACAGATCCAGGCGGTGTTGCTGCATTCGGCATGCTGCATTGTAGATCTGTCGAGATATGATGCCTGTTTGCCACCACTGAAAGTTTGGTCGGAAAAAGATTACAGTATGACATGGAGCGGCTGAGATTGGAGAGTGGCTGCTTCTGGACTTTCACGGAGGTGTTTTAAAAGTTCTGGCAACATTACAGAAGTAGTCTTTTTCCATTGATTCACAATTGAGTACAGTTAATCATAGCACATGAACATTTTTTTGGAAATTCCGAGTAGAAATATTCTTCCATGATCAATTTGCATGTGAATAGTTTCCTCCCAAATTGACATATCCACCATTTAAAGGCGGTTGATACCTGCCCTGACAGAATAATTGCCCGTATGAAAGGAGAAGATTATATTTATTTTAACATTTAACAATGAACATCTCAGTTATATCTGTTCTCGCAAATGTATACGGAGAACTTTGTGAAGTGAAACCTTTCATTACGACCAAAGCGTTGAAATCCAGCATTGCTTATTAGTATTTTAGATGGGGTCAGGGGGAGTTAGGGGGTATCTTGTAGCTGCTGTGCACTTAAACTTGCCAGACGGAGTAATAGATAAAATATTAAACTTGGCGGCAGCGCGAGAATGGTAATGATGATACTTTTGGCTGGCCGTTTTGAGGCCTCTTTGTTTAATTTGAACGTGGCTCAGGAGCTTGTTCAAACACGGCTATCCAGAAGTGACAGGACGGCAGGGCGAGAAACATTCTTCCAATGGTCAAAGATAATATTTGAAATCAACTTTTTTTTTGCACAAGTTTTATTCTGAAATTGCTAATTTTGGAGCAAATAAAGCCGCCTGAATGTCGTCTTTCAGTAGGTGTGAAAAAGATGATTGATGCTACAATACTACCCTTTATAATAATACTGCAAATCTGAGTAGGTGTTGTTATTCTCACAGTTTCAGTTGAACATTTAAACAAAATTCTTCCCACATTTGCAATTTAAGCCAAATTAAAAATCCCTAGCCACCTAAAATGATCACATACAATTGAGAAAAGTTAATGTGTTGGAGAAATAAGACCCTGAGAGGGTGAAAGTAGAGCAAAGACAGCCTAACTAAAATCTTTCTGGAGGCTTCTTCTCCCTTTACCTGCCATGTGCGGTGTAATTAATTGCTGTTAATTGTAAATGGCCGCTGGGCACAATGTCCCGGCCTGTCATTTTCCAGCTGACACAGGTGGGGAGGGGGTTGCGTTTGATTTGTTTTGCTGGCGGTAGCTTTCAGCTCGGGGGCAAGACGGGCCCTGCAGCACTCTGTCAGGGGCCAGAAGCTCCGGTGGGCGACTCCTGCCACAACCAGTAAAGACGTCCCGTACAGAAACGCTGACATCCCTCAGCACACACACACACACACACACACACACACAGACTATACACACACACATACAGCTCTCCCTGGTAAACACATACATATATTCATGAGAAGCCCAAAAAGGTGTTCAGAAGGCCACAGGCAAGAGGGAGAAGCTGTCATTTGATGTATAAAAAAAAGTGTGTACAATAGCGGTGAAAGAGGAAAGGAAGTTTGGGGTCATGCGCTTTGTTATTGCAATTTTTTTCATTCCATTACACAGCAGCTTGCAGCAACATGTGAATTCAGGATATCGAGCAGAAACCAAATGTGGACGAAAAAATGCGAGGAAAAACTTCAGAGTTGACTCAAACTGTAATTTTTCGACTGTTTACTTTTGCTTTTCTGGTGCTGCTCTCTGCCCTTCCTGTTTGTTGATGAGCCTGCCAACCAATAGGACGGTCCGTGCAGTTTGCTGTGAGGGTGGTGGCAGCAGAGAAGTCTGTGTGTGTGCGCGTGTTGGTAACGTTTCAGAGTTGAGGGAGGGCAGCGAAACAAGGTGAAATGACAATCGGGTGCATATCAGAGTGATATAATGGTGCTGTGACATGTCGATCACCCCAGCCCCAACACTGAGAGATCAGGCATCTTATCTTGAGCTGACAGCAAAACAAAAATAGCTAAATCTCGGTGACGCCCGTTGTTGCACAACAGCATATCACCACCTCCTGTGTGTTTCTGCCACAGAATAAATGACTTACCTCTGACCGGAGGTGCAACATCCAAGATATGTTTTCCAAAACTAAAAGAAAGTACTTCCTGTTTTCATAGCACATGTGAAAGTGAAGAGCAGACAAAATATTGACAAGTTAATCATCACTTGCTTAATTTTGTCAGTCTACAAATCCTGTTGTTCATCATGAAATTTAAAAAAGTTACAAATATTTATAAAAATTTAAGTAACTGTCAGGGGCATGCACATCATTGAGTCAAATTTAACCAAACAAACACATATGCTACTGTACTTTAAAAAATCCTTGTGTCTTGGTATGCGCTGTAGCATCTCAGCTCTCTGTGTTGACTCACTGAGAAAAAGAAAGGGAAAAAAAAGCCACATCCCACTAAGGTTTGACCCATTAGCACGTCATTCACTAAAGCTGATGAAGCGTGCCGTATCTGAACAGCTCCCACTGGCATGATTTTCTTTTTATGCTCGCTAGAAGTTGCCCCTGCATCACATGCTTCACTGAGCTGCCTAATATCTCCTTCACTTGTGTATCATCTTAAAGACAGAGCGTAACTGTGGTGTTTGTGATGCTGTGAGTTTGAATGCACTCTGTTTCCACTGGGCGCATATTTTTTGACTTAACAACCATTTAAAATTAAAGTTAATGACAGGCCGCACATCAAAATGGTGATGATTACAACTAAAAACAAAGAATAGCATGCCACTTTTGTCCTCTGCTGATAAAATGCTGACTATTTTACTGTCTAGTTCCATTACAGCTTTGAGATACTGAATGCTAGATAATATTTTAAGTGTTTAAATCAAAGCTGACCAGCCAGCACTGTCTTGTTTTAAACCAGACACAATGATACACTGATTTGAAGAAGCAATTTCTTGAAAATCCAACTCACATTTATCTTTTAATTCACTTTAATTGGACTTTACTCCATCACCAAACAGCTGGTGATGGAGTAAAGTTTTATTTTTAACCTCTTTTTCCATGCAGTTACTCCATCATCAAATCTAAATCCATTCATTACCATCAACGTGCAACCTCTATAGAGCCATTCAGCACAAATTAGCATCACCACCTGAGTGTTTGTATATTCGTCACTGTGTCTCTCTCCCTCTCCCTCCACTTTTTTATTTCCTCCCTGTCTCCATCTTTCTCACTCTGATTTGTCTTCCATCAGCCTCCCAGTATACCTGCGCTGGAAGCCAGGGAGCTGTCCTATTACTTATGCATAGGTATCATAGGTATTCATGTGTGTGCATGGGATAGGGCGCATCCGGAGCAGGGGCCGGGGCCCCGACATGACAAACAGGGTGTCAGCAAGGCTCCGCGGGACCCATTAATATGCCGGCAGCCGACAGGGATCCTCACCTACGCGCGCTTAATATTCCTGTATATTAAACAACCATAAATCAGAGGATATAAGCGCTGAGGGCTGTTGTGTGTGTGTGATGTGTTTCAGTGTGTTACGGTCTGTGTGTGCGAAGAAATTGTGTGTGAAGGATGCTGTGTGTGGTTGTTTGTGTTTGTGCATTTTTGAGATGGTGTGTGCTGGATACTTTTGGGAAAGAGGAACAGGGTTTTACTTAGGTCAGTTTTTGAATTTATGGATGTGTGTGTGTGCCCAAGTGTGTTTTAGTGTGGACATGCTCTCAGACAGTAAGTCAGGGGAATTCAGAGGGGAAGACAGCATCAGCCTTTTAGCCTTTCAGCCCGGCTTTAGCCCCGAAGCCTCACTGCCGACCTACAATATCCTCCAAACCAGATCCTTTCAACTGTAATAGAAATTTCTTCCCAAATCTTCCTTGGGATATTTTCTCTTCATATCTATATATCTATATATATCTATATAGTCGCCGTTGTTGTTTACATTTGTTGTTGTTGTTTTTTGGCCTCTGCCTTTGTGCTGGGCTAAGTGCTCATAGCTGCATTTTTCAGACACCTCCTGTCAATCAAGCTGAGTGTGCACATCACTGTTATCTTTTTTTTCCTCACATTTTCTTTTGATGAAGTTTGTTTCATTTCTGTAGCTGGCTGCCTTTCTTGTTTGCCTGTTCAGCAGCGGTGGCTGTCGCTCTCTGTCATGCTCACTATTCACTTTGTGTTGTTTATGCCAAACAAACCACAAACATCAAACACATCACTTTTCTTGACACCGCAGAAACCTCCCTGTGAGTTTAAGTTTGGAACACACACACAGATGCTTTTATGAAAAGGAAATTCAATTACTGCCGTGTTTTTATAACATATAAAACTTTTTTTTTTTTTAATTCAAATCACTTTTCTGCCTCGTAACACTTGAAAGTTGCAGGGTCATATGAGAACTGCAGCATACAACCTCCCTCAGTTAAACACACACATTTCACAGTTCATCCTGTCCCCCAACACATACACACACATGTACTGTCCTGCTCCCCTTTTCCCCTCCCCCTGCCATATTAATCTGTGTTACATGCATGCAAATCACCTTGTTTAATTAGAGACAAAGAATCTGTGTGTGTGTGTGTGTGGTGAGACCTGCACCCCCCAATCCTGATATTCATGATGTGATATGGGTCCCTCGGTCCGAGGCAGGCAAGATGGCAGTCAGGGCCTAATTTTGTTTTCCCAGTAGGGCGTACTATTAGTTTCTCAGCTCATTAATTACACTGTTGTGGAGAAATCATTAATAGTTAAAGTCGGCCTACAATAATGTATAATGGATACATTTGACGGCTCCTGATTCCTCCTTTTTTTCTTTTGATGTGTGATCAATTTTTAACGGTCATGATAATCCCCGAGCCTCGTTGAGTGGGCACTGGAGTTGACCTCAAGCATGTTGGGAAATGGTTGTGTGTGAGTGTGTGTGTGTGTGTGTGTGTGTGTGTGTGTGTGTGTAAAATCACTGTGTATAAATTACATACCATTTGAGCCGTCGGGGTCTCTCCAAGGTGGCGGAGCGTCTGGCCTGCTACCATCTCTCTCTCTGTGTGATCTGGACTCATGTGTGATTGTGTGTGTGTGTTTTCCTTAAGAATGTACGAGAAAGACTCAGCATGTGGGTGTGAGTGTGTGAGAGTGTGTGTGCGTGTTTGTATGTGTGTGTCTTCCCTCTCGGCTCCTCTCCCTCAGATCAGTGACAGACACTTTTGTGACGGAGGTCATTAAAATCACTCCCAAGGCAGCTCGGGGTGTGTGAGAGTGTGTGTGTATTTGTCTGTGTGTGTGTATGTGTGTGTGCCCCTCCTCAGCCCCAAACTCCTCACCCCAACCCGCCTTCTCCACACCCCCTCTTCAATTTTCTTCTTCTGTTCTTTCACTCATCCGTCAAGACATCATGAGCTGGAGTGGACGCAGGCTGACTTGATACCTGACTATTCACAGATCAGGGCAAATGTATGTGCATGTATTTGCATATACAGTTAAACATGTGTTTTCTTCTGCTGAATGCAATTAAAATAAGTCTGTAGTATTCTCCAATATTTGTATTAGCGAGTGTTTTTCTGTTGCGTAGCCTCCCAGACGTCCGTTAGCTCGTTGCACGCTGGGCTCGGCGAGCCTCGTCAGAGTAAGAGGTAATTAAGTATGAATAATTAACACCAGCGCCCCCCGACTGGGAGACAGCAGAGCAGCTTCCCCATGGCAGCAGTCGGCCAGATCACACATGGCCCTCGTAGCGGTCCACCGTGTGCCCGGCTCGTTCATTAGAAATACACACAGCACAGACTCGTTGTGATCCTCACCACAGGATCCTGCATGGAGGGGGTAGGCAGAGGGCATCATGGGTATGTTTGGTTCATCAGGGAAAAAAACTCAATTTGCTTATTGTCACCCTTTTCAGCATTTGGGGGTTTTGTAACGAAAATAAAAGTTTCTGCTAATGGATTATGATATTTTGAAGCTTTGAGATATTGCGTAATCAGATAGTATTTTGAAATGTGAATTTTCTTGGAGTCTATACCAACATCAAGCTTTTGAGGTGCGTATTTCCTGAGTGGTAGACAGAGATAGCCAGCTGTACAGTGATTATTTAGCAGAGCGGTCCATAGAAGTTTCTGTGTTTGGTCAATGAGTAACGACGGTATCTATTAGACCTGTGGGGTTTAGGAGTCAACAGGTAAATGTCAAGTGTAATCACCAGAGGAAAACCTTTGCTCCACATACAAGTTACAAACGAGGAGGTCACTTCCATAACACAGCGCTTATATCAGTATCCATACATGAGCAAATCTTAGTCTGTAAAACGTTTTTTAGCATTTATGTTTTAGCTAATATTTAGAATATGTGCATTTGTCCCCCTCAATAAAAACATGAAAATGGCAGAGGACTTTTATTCTGACAAAATGAAGACACTTACACCATAAATTGATGCAAAAAGGCACAAAGTGGTGAATAAAAATTCACCAGAATGCGGGATATTAAGTTTTTGATGCTCAAAATGTTCAGGCAGAGAACCCCCAAACCCTTCCATTTCATCAGCCTTGTGCGGGATGAAACACTTCAAGAAATTGTTTTATAGCTTAATTTAATGTGTCAAAATGTGGTTAGTGATAGATAATTATGTGTTCTTACACTGTCTAGAGTAGGTTTAAACCCTTGTTTGCCCATGTCTTAAAACCAGCAACTTTTCTTCCAGGTATAAATTTGCTATTGTCCCATATGGGCGTAAAGGTTAAGAGTAGGGGGGTTTCCCCTATATATTTTTTTGACCTCACGCCAGATACTTGTATTTTTTAGAAATGTTTTTTTGTGTTTTCTCCAGTTTCTTTGGTTCAGAAGAGTAAAGGTAGCTTCTTGGTCACCCTTCAGCTGAGCATGTCCGAATTTTCACCTACAATGGAGGTTCTATTGTAGAGAAGTTGAGCAAAGCTGCTTTCACTTGTGCTGCCTGACAGTACCAGTGTAGGTTGGGGAATTTTAGATGCCCCCTGTTGTACAGCAGGTAAAGTAGGGTAAAAGAGAGTCCAGAGCATCTAGTATGCCAGATTAAATTGCAAAATACTTACTCAAATCTTTGAGAAAATGACATTCAAGACAAAGATTTATGTACTAAGGAGCTAATAATGTCATCTCTTTTGTCTCCTTCTTCATTCTTCCTGTCTGTCAGCTGTGCGGGCGGACCGCATGCGTGGCGGTCGCAACAAGTTTGGCCCGATGTACAAACGTGACCGGGCGCTCAAGCAGCAAAAGAAGGCGCTGATCCGAGCCAACGGCCTGAAGATCGAGGCCATGAGTCAGGTGATGCAAGCCGTGCCCACCGACCTCACCATCTCCTCAGCCATCCAGAACATCCACTCGGCCGCATCCAAAGGCCTTCCACTGAGCCACCACCCGGGCCACCACACCGGTCACCACCACCACCACCACCATCATGCTACCGCCCTGCCCCCCACAGACTATGACCGCAGCCCATTTGTCACCTCGCCAGTCAGCATGGCGATGCCGCCACACGCTGGCAGCCTGCAGGGCTACCAGGCGGCCTACGGACACTTCCAGGGCACGCGCACCATCAAGTCAGAGTACCCAGACCCGTACACCAGCTCGCCGGAGTCCATCATGGGCTACGCCTACGTCGATGCCTACCAGACGGGCTCGCCGCCCAGCTTCCCTCACCTGATCGTAGAGCTGCTCAAGTGTGAGCCAGACGAGCCACAGGTTCAGGCCAAGATAATGGCCTACCTGCAGCAGGAGCAGGCCAGCCGAGGCAAACACGAGAAGCTCAACACCTTCGGCCTCATGTGCAAGATGGCCGACCAGACACTCTTCTCCATTGTGGAGTGGGCACGCAGCAGCATCTTCTTCCGTGAACTCAAGGTAGGTGATCCATGTGATGAGAGAGATTTGGTTTGAATCTGAGAAAAATTTCGTACAACCTTGTTTTCATGGCTCTGGCCATAGTTCTTTTTCGGTGATGATAGCGCGCTACTATTAAAGCTTTATTTCTCTCTGCAGTCACTCTGCAGGCCTTTAATAAATTATCCCGCAGTTTGTTTCAATGCTAAATCGCTGACCACATTGTCATCCATAATTGACAGTACTTTACACAGTTCATGAACATCATCTGCTCAGTCCTTTATCTTCAACAGGCCTTTAATCTTCCTCTTTTATGCACTGGCTCAACACTAATGCAGAGTACACAGGGCTGCGTGTGTGTGTGTGTGTGTACGGGTGTGGGAGGGGGGTCTGTTTGTAGCTGCCACCGCTGTCTGTCCCACTGCCTGATCAAAATTCAGCAGCCAGCCACATTTACCCTGTGTGTGACACATTTTGGCTATGGGTTGTGAAAACTTTGACTATGAGCTCCAGGCACTTTTCATACTAACAGGGTCCTAGTCTGAGGGTTTTATGTGAACTGCATACCGCCCATCTCCCCTTGAAATATTTCTCAGATCTAAGTGGGCTCACACTGTGTGATGATAAGAGATATTGGCCATTAGCATATTGGTCAAACAAAATTCAGAGAGCTGACCGTATCACACAGAGGGTAGAGTCACAATGGCAACAATTTGTCTGTTGCTTTTCTCTTTAAATAACAGTTTAAGATTTTTTTTTTGTTATTTATGATAGATATTCTTATTTAAAAAGCATTTTTATACAGCCTTTATGTAATCTGCAAAGTCTATTACATAAACAGTATTTCAGCCTGGCAAAAACTGTCCTCTGTGGGTGTTTAGCACAGTCAATCCCAACTGACCAATAGAAACAACCCGCCAACGACTCATGTAAAAAATGTGATAATTCTTGCTTATTCACAGAGCCCAAGGGAGAGTTTCTGGTGTGTGTTTGTGCGCTCACAGCCTTATTTGCTCTGAATGAAGGTTAATGTTCGGAGCGACATGAAAGGCGTTTGATTAGTCTGCGCTTCACCTGTTTTTCTTCCCGTTGTCTGCCCTCCTTTGTCTGTTTGTTTCACACCGCATCGCCAAAGGCTCAGCTGCATATTCATGGGCCCGGGCCTGTTGCAAAATTCCCTGCAAATATTTGATATGATTTTGTTTTCAAAGGGGGGAAAATAACAAATGAAATAAATGCAATATTAAAAAACACAGCCAATTACAACACAGACAAGAGTACTTGAAAAACACATGTTGACATTTAGCACGCGCCGTGTCCCCGCTATTGACATTTTCGAGATCTGTATTTGCATTCAAGTGGGGTGCGCGGCACTGCACTCATACACACACTGCGCGCACAGGCTCGTAAGGTGTGGCCGCGGCTTATAATTGTGTGTGGTTCGCCCATTAACTTTGAACGATCATTTTTTTGCTCCACTGTGAAGCTTCTCTATTTCTCACACCCTCGTCCTAATTCAATTATCTCACCCACTTGTGTTTGTCACTCCCTGATTTGCTGCTGAATGAAATGTCATTATGTTTGCCTAATGACTACCCATATTACTGGAGCTTAATAGTAATTGAGCTGGGTGCCTGTTACAAAGGTAGAACATGACCTGAGCTCAATGCAGGAGAAACCTCTTCCTGCACCCCCTCCTCTAAAAAATCCTCTCCTGCTCCTGTTGCACGAGCCTCATTGGTTTAGGGGAGGTGGGGGCGTATTTCACTTAAGTGAGGGAGATAATTGAACCGAACCCCCCCTTGCAGTGTTTTTAAAGAGCCATCTAAAGCACAAGGGGGATTGAAAAATAATGCGCTAGCTGTGGCTCTGACAGTTTTTCCCACACAAGCCACAATCATTGCTTGTTTCTCATTAGTAACTACAGGGAGGACTGCTGAGCAAGGCTTAGTGCTGGTGATGGTGGAGAACAAGCAAACTGTGAGCTGTAGCCAAACTGGTATTGATCACATTGTGTGTATATTGCTGTGATGTTCTTTTGGTTTTAAAACAACTCCCTAAAATTGTTTGCTTAAGAGTTTTTTTTTTAAGCTGAGCTTTAAGGCTTTGATTTGTTTATTAATCATAATTGCAGAGTGTGTGTACCGTGCATAGTGTGTAAATGTGCTCCGTTCTGCTGCAGGCTTTTATGTGTTTGCTACTGCAGCTCGGCACCAAATTACATAGAAAAATCCACCCACCACATCTCCCCACTTTATCTCCCTGTGAATATATGCCTACTTTTGTGTCTGTGTGTGTTCATACATAGAAATACATGCAATCTAACAGTCTTAGACATTGCCATTAATTTCTGTGAGGGAGTGGACCCCATTGTTTTAGCTTGTGATCGTTAGTGTCATTAAAGATTTCATGTTTTTGAATCTACCTGACCTTCGACATCCCGTGTTTATACAGATCTGGTTATTAGATGTACGGGTGAGCCTGGTACCAGAGAGACAGGAAGCAGAGTAGAATTAAAAGTTTGTCACAGGAGCAGTGTGGCGCTGTAGGAAGCTATAAATACTCTTCATCTCACACACACACACACATACCCACATTAAGACACAGACACCACTCACACATAACGCACAGCCCCTCTCACTATTATTAGCCCCGTAAGAACAAAAGAATTTCTCCGGTAATTGAGCCAAGCTGGGAGGGTGTGTGCGAGGCGTCTGCCAAAAAAAGTGTTTAAAGATTTAGTTTCCATAAGTTGGCCTCGGTCACGGGACTCATAAATATTTAGCCATTAGGAGCACCTTCTAAAGAGCTCTCCCCATTCTTTTCCAATGCGGCACTCTGACTCTCTCTC